ATTGATTTAATCATTTTCTATGGCTTGTCAACCCACTGCAAGCCAGAAAATATTTTAGATTGTAAGTTTTTTTTTAAGATGATAATGATTTAATGATGTCGGTCTTATTAATTAACCCATAGCCAGAGGGAGAAAAGGTGGATTCATATCTTTCCCAAGGGTATTTGCACGTAAATGAATATAACGAAATCAACAGGTATTGGAACTCAGCTGTCTGATTAACAATTCCGAGCCATTATCTATTACACCAGCTGCACATTGAAGCTTACAGCATCTGGTATTCCCAAGCAGTTACCCATCTAGGTATTGACTATGCTTGACATTGCTTAACTTTGTCAATCATACGGGAACCAGTGTTTCAATGTCATGTAGCTGTAAGCCCTTTCATCCACAAGAAACCATTTTGTTGCAGATGATGTGTGGCAAGGATCACTGTCATGCTGAATGATTTCTCCATCTTTTCTTGTCTGGCAGAAAGTTAGGCCATAGTAAACTAATATAGTTTTCACTGTTGAGGTATCCATCAACTTTTACTAATTGTTTTCTATAATCACTTTTCATGCAACCCCAAACCATTACATGACCAACACGAGGGTTTACATTATGCATTGTTTCTTTCTCCCACTTGTCTTCTTGCATTAGAATGTAACTCTGTTTTGCATTAATCACTACAAATTACTTTTTTCCATTTTCCAGCATCCGAATCTTCTATTCCAATGCTTTTTGGTTAATGATAGTTTTTGCTGCTATATGCCCATTCAAGTTGTATTTTTAGGGATACACAGCATACTGTATCAACTGAAACCTCACTATTAAACATGCATTAACTTCTCACTTCTCTGGCTGTTAATTTTGCCTACCAACACTCTCACAATCTTTCTTTCATCTCTTTTGTCTAACTTCTATGCTTTTCTGGGTTTTCTTTGCACTTGAAACAAATAGTAGCAAACATTTTTTGGATAGTTTTAACAGTTTCTGGGAATTCCCAGCCTGACTATTTCTCTCTGAGTCATTTTCACCTTCAAAGTTACGATCTTTGTTTTGGCAGAAAATTTAACTATGATTTTAGTGTAAAAAAAGCAAGCTAATATCCAAACCTAATGACTTGTCGAGGCACCTTACACTCCTGTTAATAAAAGGAAACAATTTCTACTTAGAAATTTGTATATTATCATGACTTTATCATCTTGGATCTTTCATTGGCCAAATAGTTTTGCATTGCCTTTTGGACCTTCAAATGATGTTACATGGCAGATACAAAAACACAACTTATTTTCCAATCCTCCAGGTCCACAGGCACTACTTATAAAAGCATGCCACTAAACAACCTTAACTTCTTAATGAAATAAAGGTGTATAATCATTTTATGTAGTTGGCCAAAACTTTTACATGACAGTCTGTATGTATCAATTTAGAGTGAAGGAATGTTTTGACAGATTTAAAAAAAAAAAAAATTATTTCTATAGTAAAATAATTTGTAACACATTTCTATAATAAAATAACTTTTAATGCATATTTTATAGTAAAATAATTTGCACTGAATTTCTGTAAATGCTTTCAGTATTTGCTGTGTCACTGTTTATATGTATGTAGTGTAACAGTTATCAGTGTAAAAATTGGAACTGGCATCTTCATCCATGTGCGGTGTCTTGAGGATGTAGGCGATCATGGCTCTCCACAACTTCCTACACTTTGTTAACATTTATCTTTTTGCCTTGACTCTCACTCCCCATTATATCGTCCATTCACACAAGCAGCTTAGGTAAGGTGGGTTTTTCATGTCCCTTTTGCCATTGCTATGTCCAGTAAATGCCAAATTCTCCAATTACATGGGTATCAGCATGCAGAGTTCAAATCCTGACCAGGTCTGTTATGTTTACTTAGTACTAATGTCAGTGGAAAAGGCATGAATCCATCTTTCCTGCAGTTATGGATTAAATAATAGGGCAGACTAAGTATGCTTTGGGTGGCAACCATCCCAAAAGAAGGAAAAAAACTGAATTGAAATTGGTTCTATTAGTGCAAGATGGATACTTCTTGTATTGTAGCTTGGTCTGATCATTCACTGCATCTGATCCACCACCTTGCCTCTGGGATCCTGGAAGGGGTTTGGAGAGGGTGGGTGTAACAGAGCCTCTCTTGGACAATTCAGTCTCCATGTGTTTTGCTTGTCATTTGTGCATGTGCATTGGTGTGTACAAAGGCAGGAGTGGGAGAAGAAAGGTTCACTGCATATTCGCAAGGGCTGAAAGGTTCACTTCATATTCACAAGGGCTGAAAGATTTGTTTCATATTCACAAGGGCTGAAAGATTCACTTCATATTCACAAGGGCTGAAAGATGAAATCAACACCACAGCATGAAATGAGTCTGATTTCCCATAATTTGGTATTTTATTCACTGGGGTTCCAAGTCTTTCTGGTAGTAGGTACCATATTTTCTTGGGTATAATATGACTTGAGTATAATACGACTTCATGTTTTTGAAGGGAATAAATTACATCCCTGAGTATAATACACCCCATGGTTATTGTTATGGTCCAGGTTAGGACCAAGGAAGAACAACACGGACACAAGAGTAGAAATAACGAAGGTATATTACATGAAATAATAATACAAGATGTGGAAGGTGTTAGTATGACTGTCAGTCTGGTTTGGAGTGAACTACTATCGACTCTAATTGATTTGTCCCTCTCTCTTGAGAGGCGTAGTATACATAGTGTTAAGAAGAGTTCATTCTGTAGATATAGGTAAGGACCCATGACAGTTATGAAGGTACAAACAGGGAATAAATTACATCCTTGAATAAAACACGACCCTGTAGTACAGACATCTCTATGTAAATATTTTTTGAAAAGTTGTACTACATTATCCATTAAATTCTCAATGTCATACTTGTAATATTAAAGAATAGAAATAAACTGGATGTTTAGCCATTGCATTTTTCTTCTCTAAATTTCCATTTCACAACTCATTTTTGAATTTTGCAGAAAAGGTGCTAATTACATATACCTGGCAATACATTTTAAGGTGTTGATTAATTTTTCATATTCTTTGGTATGACTTTATTATATTTCTATATATTAATAAACGGTAAAAATATAAAACATTATTGTCTTTCATTAATAATGAAAATAGAAAGCTTTATAGAAAAGCAACAAAATCAAAGTAGAAACAAACGTTAGCTTGCAAGTAAAACTGAGCGTATTTGCAATCAATCTTGCTGTTTCAAATAAGAGGTTTTTTAAGCTGAGTAAAAAATTCCGAAAATGAACATTTTTTTTTGCTCTTAATTTTCTTTCAAAATTTCTTGTACGTTGCACAAGAAGATATTGTAGATGGCCCACAGGTCCCTTCGTCTCTTCCTCATCAAGTATCTGCTACCACTGTGACTGGTTGGACGGACCACTCCTCTCTCACATTTGCACTAACTAGGACTCTCCTTATATAAGACTGCAGACGGAAACCTCTGACTTCCAGCCTAGTGTCACTTGACCTCACAAATTTTAATTTATTTGTTTATTATTTTCTTGCCCTTTGGTCAAGTGAGTGGCTGCTTCGAACACTAGCCTTCAATGACATTACTTTCTGGCCATAAAAAAAAAAAATCACCCAACACTTCTGATAACATCCTTTAGGGCTCACTTGGCTTTGTGTATGTTCGGTCAGTCATAGGGTGGAGTAGCATATTGTACTGCAGTGAGACTGGACTTGTGCAACCCCTTCCTCACCTAAAACTCCACACATGCTGTTCCTTCTTGTAGGGAATAATCATCAATCCTTGGGATGGATCTTCTTCTTTCAGTGCCATATCCCTTCATGAGCAACCATTGCTCTCTATGATTTCCTATCCTTTGTGGCTCTAAGCAAGGTTTGTTCCTTTATTATCCCTTCCAGTCCCTGTTCTACCATCCATTTATACAAGCTCAAAGGTCTCCTTTGCCACTTTTTCCATGTCTTGTGAGGGTCAAATTCTCTAAGCCTCTTTTCATGATTATGCATCCTAGAAATTTCAACTCTTTCCTATCTCGCCTATGATATCACACGTTACATAAATCACAAATAAATTCTGCCTATGATATATCATGTTTCATAAATCACTTATTGATTTTGGTTAATCATTTCACCCCAAGCAAGATAATAATGCCACTAGGATGCAGGACATTACAGAGTGTGAAAGAGAATGAGAAAACTTTAGTGAGGAGAAATGAGAAAAGGACAATAAAAGGACAGGGTTCAGGATGACAGAAGATAGCAATTGATGTTGCATTTAAATTTTTGAAGATTGTAGGTGACAGGGGAGGCACGGTGGAATAATGGATAGCAGCTCGGATTGAGGAATCGGAGAGCAGAGTTCAAATTCCAGTCGAATCCATTAGATTCACTTACATGCTAATACCCTTGGGAAAGGTATGAATCTTCTTCTCCCACCAGCTATAGATAAATAGCAGGACAGCCTGGGTTCTATAGCCTTGGATGGCAACTGATCTACTGCAGAAAGAAATGGCAACCTACTGAAGGAAGAAAATCTGCCTCGTCAGTCATGTATCAAAAGATACATGATCGCCTAAGCGTGTATCACACATGGCACATAACTGACTGAAGGTGGCAAGGAAGCAAGAAATCAGAAGGGAGTTCCACAGGTGAGAAGTTGTAAGAAAAGAAGCTGTTCAAATAGAAGAGATGGTTGCATTTAGCTAGTTCAACAGTATAATGGTGAGACCTAGCTGCCAATCTAGTAGCATGCTTAAATTCATGCAATCAAGACACCAAGGAGGAAAGCTCATTAGAACAATTGCCATGCAAATATTTGTAGGAAAGACAGAGGGAATTCACGTCACATCGGTGAGAAAATAACTGAAGTCAGGTCAGGATTGATTATATTACAGACCCTTATATTATCAATATATAAAATTTTGTATGTCTTTTTAGAAAAAAGGTTAATTCATATTGTCTTTTTAACAATATTTTTAAAAAGCCTGTTCTTTTTTTATTTGTTCAGAAGTGGATTAACTGGAAAAGCGATCCGTGTGGAAAGAATAATTTATTCAGGAAAAGAAGGCAAAAGTACACAAGGATGTCCAATTGCAAAATGGGTAAGTACTTTAAAATTGCACAGTCTTCAATTGCATTTGTAAATAAACTAACTCCTGGTTAGAATTCTAGTAACAAATTTCTAGTGTGTATTATGAGAAACCAGAGGTTCTCAACCTTGCTTACCCCAACACCTTTTTCAGCATTTGTCAGAATGCCATTCCCCACCTCCTTTTCAAGGTGACAATTCTATAATTGCTCTCCTCCCCCCTCTTGTCACAATTCACCCCTGAAAATCCCAAATTCACCCCCTGGGGGTGAATTTCACCCCCTGTTGAGAACCCCTGAGCCAGACACTATGATATCAGGAGTCAAACCTATGTGTTGCAGGTAAATACAATCTTGAAGACTTCCATCACTTACTTGAAGAAAAAAATCTTCTCCCATCTCTGAACTTCTTCTATGTGCCATGTTCCTTCAGTACGTTGGAGATAATGTCCCTCCACAATTTCCTGTTCTTTGTAGCTCTTAATAAATATTGTCTTTTTGCTATCTCTTTTAACCCTATAGCATTCAACCCGCTCCAAAAATATCGGCTCAACCCGCTGTAACCTGCCGTATATATACTCTCTCTCTACCATAATTTATGACGACATCAGGGCACCTCAAGGCAGTGTAATGGTTAGCAAGCTTGTTTCACTAGAATGATTATGACTGAGTAGTGAGTTCGATCCTCACTAGGTGCCCCACAATTATGGCCTTGTGCCACATCTAAGCTACACTTAGAAACTCCCTATATAACAACATCATCACGAATGATGCAGGAAGTGTCACAAACAGTGAGACTTTGACCACAAACAGTGAGATTTTGAGAGCTGATATTTACGGGGCAGGTTTGAATGATGAATGCTAACAGGTTAAACCTTGTTCTGTCATCCATTTACACAAGTGCACTAGGTAGGTTCTACATTGTTTTCCTCTGTTGCTCTTACCTTCAATCTGTCCTGTGAGTGTCAAATTTTCCAAACCTACTTTCTTTCTTCATTATGTGCCCTAGAAATTTCATCCATCTCTTTCTGATGTTAAGTGTATTACCAAATTTCCAGTGTATGATATTGACCTAATCAGCAGAAATTTCCGTCATTCAAAGCTGACTTATAAAAATGCAATTTCTACCACCTGCACTTTATATATTAATTGTAACTACTTAAATCAAGTGGTCCCCTTGTAAAAAAAAAAAAAATTGAGAAGCTTTTTGTGGGGAATAATTTTGTAAATTAGTATTATTTAGACTTTCTTCTACCCATGACACATTTGTCAAAATTAAAAAATATTGATTTCTTTTTTTTATCATTTTAAAAGTGTGCACATACTCATAATATAAATACAACGTCAAATCAATCCCTGACTTCATAAAAAGTAATCTGCACTTTGTTTTTATTTACAAATGTCAAGTTTGAAACTATGCCAATGTCATTTATATATACGTTTCTATGTGACTGATTATAAGAAAAGATTTTAAAGAATAAATTAATAAATGTATATTTATTAATTACAAATCCATTTGTTCAATATTTAAGATGATTATTATCACAAAATGTTTGTACAAGTGTCTCCAAAAAAAACATTTTTTTGACAAAAACATGTTTGAAAAATTCAAAACATTTTCCAAAAGGCAGACATTGATTTGACACTATTTATAATAACAAGACCACCCCCCCACCTGTAAATTGATAAAAAGTGAATTTTTTTTTTTATTCTGATAAATACTGTGGCTTCAGGAATGTCTATTGAATGCTAATCTTGTAAATTGATAAAAAGTCAATATTTTTTTATTCTGATAAATACTGTGACTTGAGGAAGGTCTAATGAATGCTAAAATTGTTCCCCTCCAAAATGTTTCCCTGTTCTAAACGAGCAGACCAGTTAATTTAAATAGTGTCAACTAATCATGAGTACATTTTGTTGTTCTTAAAGTGAAAAGGAAAAGAAGACACATCCAATTTCTTTCGATAAATAATGATATAAATCCATTTTTTTAAGTCCATTGCAGAGTACTACTAACATTATGAAAGTTAGTACTATCTTCTGCATGGTCAGTTAATCAGTGACTAAACTGGTCTGACACCATTCTTATCTGGTGAGAAAGGTTGACTAGACACCAACCAGAATGAAAAAAAAAAGTACCTGACAAAGAGTGGATGAACTTTCTTGTTGGGTGAACAACCATCATCTTACATACAAGTTTTCTGACCAAACTGTCTGGGTAAAGGCTAAGGGAGATAACTGTAAAAGAAATCCATACTTTATCTATGTGAAGGCAGACTGAACTCGTCTATGGTGTCTAGCAAGATGTTGCAACCAGAACAGCTGCTTGTCATTGTGGGTGATTCATGCCACTGGAGATCAAACCAAGATGGTGCTGTTGGTCGTCTACACATCCATTCATCAGCAATCTATTCTCTTCACCCACACAGGTTTTTCTGTTTCCTCTTCCTTGCCAAAGAGGTACAAGAATCTCCAGTTGCAGGAGATGGCATTCCAAATTTCAGCCAATGATAAGAAAATTGCGAGGTCATTGTTGATAATGACAGACTACTACCTATTGCTGCTGCTACTTTTGGCCTTGTGCCAAACTAAGTTATTCTTGGTCAGTACCTAGATGTATATAACAGCTTTATTCTGTTAGCAACATAAACATTAATTCTTTATCATTAAAATCATTTTCTTCCTGATTTGGTTATGGTGAGATTAGCTGTTTCCATAGAGGAAACATTCAGCATTCATTGACCAGTTAGATAATGCTCTCATGCATTTAATGTCTGCTTCATTAAAATGGAAAACCTTGACAACTTTGACTATTTCCACTTGTACATTATTTTGTTAAATAATGGCCTTCATTCATACTTATGATTGTTATTGCAATATTTTATTAATGTTAAGCTCAAATATTTAACAATGCAATCAGGGAATTTCTATGTGTATTTTATAGTCATGGAACTCACAAGGAGATTATTCAGTCATGGAATCAGGAATTAGGATTCATCAGGAAGTCATGTAATTTTCGCAGATATGACTAGTTCTACATAAACCGTATAAAATTTTGGCGATTTTCAGTATCTTTATGCATCACATCAATGACAGCATCTAAAATTCTTAAAAATGATGTTCCTGTTTTCAAATTTTCATTTTCTCTTGTAGATCATCCGTCGGGCCGGAGTTGAAGAGAAATTACTGTGCCTTGTCCGACATCGACGTGGACATTTTTGTCCAACAGCCTGTCTTGTGATTTGCATTGTTGCCTGGGAAGGGATTCCCAAATCTGTAGCTGATGATATGTATTCCTATTTGGTACCAACACTCACAGGATTTGGTTTGGAAACAGATCGGCGTTGTGGATACAATGAGCAGTAAGTTGACAAGAATTCCAGTTCAATTTGATCGAGGCATAAGAAAACAATTAGTTTTACTTTCTTCTCTACTATGCATTTCTAGAATAAAATTATTTCCAATGAATATCTATAAATGGTTTTAGTATTTGTTTTGTTACTATATAGGTAATTTTTAGAGGGAATGAAAGTTTTCATGTATTTGTTCAGTAAATAATTGCAATATATTCTAGAGTAAATTCATTTCAATGAATTTCTATAAATGCTTTTAGTAATTGTTTTGTTATTATATATGTATTTTCATATATTTAATAAATAATTATAATGATTTTGTGTATGTTATGATGTTGATTTGGGGTTAATAAGACAAACGCCAAATAACACGTAACAATAAAAAGGGGTTTATTCGGTTGGTAAGTAGGTACAGAAATCGCCTGAGTAGTCTATAACTCACTCAGCCAAGAACTTCTCCAACTCTGTCTGTCTTTTGACATGCCACTATTTAACATCTTTGTTTGTAAACAAGTTCATCTTCAAGAGGGGTGGTAGGTTTCCTACACAACACCTCCCCCTTGAGATTAATTCCAGAGGAATTAATATCTTTTCCTTTTGGGATCTGGACTTAAACGTTCCACCCTCGTTCTTTTTCTTTTGCTTGTCCTTCTTTGGACAACTGTTTCAGGCAATGGTGGAGTTGGCATATCAAATAAATCATATAATACCTCCATTGGTTCTTCATTTTTTGTACTTATTTCTTCCATGTTTCTTCTCCTTAATTGGTTTAAATGTCTTTTGTGCGTCCATTTTTTACTTCTTATCATGTACAACATTTTACCAATTTTGCATTACCACTCCATCTTGCCAAAATTCCTTCCCATTTTGTAATTTTTAAAAAAACTTTATCTCCCGGCCTGAAATATTTTCATATTTTCCTGATCGTTTTGTTCTGGTAACTTTTTTCTTTCTGGCAGCAGCCTATTGAGCACAGATCTAATTTTTCTAGCAAACATCAGTTCAGCTGGAGACATCCCTGATATTGCGTTTGGATTTGGTGTTATTCTGTATATACTTAAAAACTGCTGTATATTACCATCATCTGTATTAGTACCATTTGTTTTTTTAAGGGCTCTCTTGAACATATCAACAAACCGGTCAGCCTGTCCATTTGACCTAGGATGGTACGGTGAAGCCATGATGTGGTCAATTCCCAGAGTCTTACAAAACGTCTTAAATTCACTTCCTGTGAATTGAGTTCCATTGTCTGTGACAATTTTTTCTGGTACTCCAAACCGTGCAAACAGTTCTGTAAGAAAACCTTTTGTTACAGAAGCAGTTGGTCTTTTGCACTTAAAAACCTCAGGCCACTTGGAATAGCTATCCACAACTATCAAGTAGAAATTACCATTCATGGGTCCAGCATAATCTATGTGGAATCTGGTCCATGGAACATCTGTTTTTGGCCATGGTGTGTATTTTACTGGTGGTGCTTTCGCTGCCATTTGACACCCTCTACAAGTTTTAACTACTTGTTCAATGTCTTTGTCCATATTTGGCCAATAAACGTAACTCCTCATCAGGGCTTTCATACGTCCAATACCAGGATGCCCTGATGAAATTCCTTCAAAATCCGCTTTTTGTAGTACAACGGTATCCACGACCTTCCAGCATATAACAGCACTTCATCACATATTGAATATGCTGGTGAAGAAGTTTTATACTTTTCTGAAGTTACAACTTCTTTCATTTTTTAATAAAAATGTCATTTTCTGATTTTAATTTTATTTCATCTAATGTCACCGGTAATTCTTTTACTGTGTTATGCATTACTTCCACCAATTCATTTTCTGCTTGAAACGACGCTATCACCGTATCTTCTAGCAGTTCTGAAAATGTTGGGATCAGTCTAGATAAACCATCAGCATGGCTTAATTTTTTAGATGATAAAAATTCCATTTTGAACTTATAATTCAACAAAATGGTTCCCCATTGTTGCAAACGGTTTGCCGTATGAGTAGGTATACCCTTCTTCGAACCATAGATCGAAAGCAGCGGGCGATGGTCAGTCTGCAATATAAACCTTCTTCCATGTATATACTTATGGAATTTTTACAAGCATAGATGATAGCTAAGCTTTCTTTCTCAATTTGAGAGTACTTCTTTTCTGCGTGTAATAATGTCCTTGATGCATGTGCCACTGGCTTCATATTGCCGTCTCTGAATTTATGCAAAATTACCACACCTATTCCGTACTCGCTTGCATCCGATGCCACTATAATTTCCTGTTTAGGGTCATAATGTGTTAGCGATAATTCCAACGTCAAAATATTCTTTATTTTGTCAAACGCTTTCTGACACACTACTGACCATTCCCACTTTGCTCCCTTTTTAAGCAATTTATTTAATGGAGCCGTAAGGCTGCACAAATTAGGAATATATATCCCATAATAGTTAGCAAGTCCTAAGAACGCTTGTAGCATTACTACATTTTTGGGAGTTGGCATGCTTTTGATCGCTTCTGCCCTCGCCGGATCTGGTCTTCTTCCATCAGAGTCTATTATCTGCCCCAAAAACTTAATTTCACTCAAAAAAATTCACATTTTTCAGCTGCAAGTTTGAATCCATATTCTTCAATTTTTCAAAAACCTTATTAATATGTTCCAAATGTTCATTTCGATCTTTACTTTTTATCAAAACATCATCAAGATATACAATGGCTTAAGTCCAACCCTGCCAGCACAGTGTCCATAATTTGCTGAAAAATACTAGGGGATACTTTCAAACCAAACGGCAAACGGTTAAATTTGTATAAACCCTTGTGTGTATTGATAGTCAGCAATTTAGAACATTCCTCGTCCACTTTCACTTGGAGATAGGCATCCGATAAATCCAATTTAGAGAATATTTTTCCTCCACTTAAACTTGCAAAAATGTCTTCTGGTGAAGGCAAAGGATATGTGTGGTCTTTTAAGCAATCATTTAGACCCGTAGAGAAATCGGCACACATCCGAATTTTATTATTCTTTTTCTTAACATATACAATAGGGCAGGCCCACTCTGAAAATTCAATGCATGAAATAACTCCTAAATTTTCAAGCCGTTCCAATTCTTTGTCAATCTGTTCCACAACACCAAATGACACATTTCTTTTTCGCTTGAAAATAGGTTTTACATTTTCCTTCACTTCAAATTTTGCCTTCGCCTTTTTGCAACATCCAAGACCTTCTGAAAATACTTGTGGAAATTTTATTTTCAGATCTTTCATCAAATTTTCTGTAACCCAATTTTTACACGGAGAAGAAACATTAATTCTATTGCAAAAAGAATTTATGGGGAGTTCCCATAAATTAAACAGTATAATCCAATCTGTTCCAAAGAAATTTTAAGCATATTGTAGCACATACACTTTAGACTTTAGTGTCTTACCAACAAATGAAATATTACAAGAAAATTCACCTTGAAAATGCAATTTTCTTCCAGAATCCCGCGAGCCACTTTTTCAGTTTTTTTTAAGCAAAGGTCTGCCTATTTTAATCCATGTTGCTGTATTAATAATGGAAATATCACTTCCAGTATCTAGCTGTAGTTTAACATTTTTTCCATTAATTTTTACCTGTACGAATTTTCTTTTCTGCCCCTCCTCAATCTCCTGATGTGACAATACAATATTCACATTATCTTTTTTCGACTTAATTTTTTTTCTTTTGCTTTTACAATGAGTACTTATATGGCCTTTTTCTTGCCACCGAATAGCAATTTTGTTCTTGAAAAAACATTCACTTTTAAAATGACCACCACCGCATCCAAAAGCACGTTGGTTTTTTTAACATTTTTATTAACTATTCCCTTTTTTTGGTCGAATAGCATGGACACGGGATACGTCTTTTTCTTCAATTTGCGTATTGTCATGTTTTAAATTTTCAATTCTTTGACATTCTTCGTAACCTTCTGCAAAGTAATCTCGGGTTTTGTTCGAGTTTTGCCAATATTCGGAACCTTATGTCCTTATCTTTGCTAGAAGTCAAGCCTTGAACGAATATCAAACATTTAAATCGATCAATTGAAAGATCATGTAACATAAA